ACACATTTAGTGGATTAAAGCCTCACGAATGTATTACCTGACAGTTCTGGAGGTCATAAGTCTGACAGGGGTCTCGGTGGGCTTAAATCAAGGTGTCGCCTTTCTGGAGGCTGTAAGGAAAGGCCATTTCTCTGCCTTTTCCAGCTGCTAGAAGCCTTCCTCCATCTTCAAGGCCAACAATATCAGACTGAGTCTTTCTCTTGCTGCTGTCTTTCTGGTTCTTCCTGCCCCCTGTGATTACATTAGTCCCACTTGAATAATCCACAGCAGTCTCCCATCTCAGGGTTAGCAGACCACAGTTATCTCTCAGTTTGTTCCTAAAGACTCTCGAATGCTAGCCCACTCCATCTTTCCACTTTATCAGCCGAATTCTGTATCCTTTTGGCAGAAATCACAATACCTAGTCACAATGCTTACAGTCTAATAACATTGATTCAACACTGTTTGCCTCCCCTCCTTTCTCTGAGTCAACTGCAGCAACAAAGTCAAGCTGATGGCAAAACCGAGCTCCTTCCTGCTGTTCCTTCTGCTTGAAACATTCCTCCCCCAGGTCTCAGGTCAAATGTCACCTCCTTGGGGAGGTCCTCACTAGCACCACCCTTTTGAAAGTAATCCACACCCCTCACCCGGCGCTGTCCACCGCTTTGCCCTGAGCACTATCTGAAATGACCTCCAGTATTTGCTTACTTGTATTTTTGGCCATTGGATCCATTACATCCACTGGCTGGCACATAGTAGGTGCTCAACAAATATTTGTTGAATGAATGAATGTCCTTGATTCACGATGCTCCCTCCCCCACTACCCTCCAATCACCTTATCCTCCCTTGCTATACAAATCTCACCCATTCTTAGAGGCTCAGCTCACCACATTTTCCTTGAAGACCACTCCAGGTCACGTCCATTCAGTCAACGTTTACTAAGTGCCAGCAAGTGTCAAGCTCCCAATCAGGCATCGGAGCTGCTCGGATGGTTAAGACAATGCTCAGAGCAGACTCAAAACTAGATACAACAGTCTTCTGTCAATTCTCATTGCCCCATAATTCCCATTTGCATGTGGTTTGCATCTTCCTGCCTAGACTGTAAATTCCTTGAAGACAGCAGATGCCATATAGGCAACTCTGCCGTGTCCCAGTGCTGAGCTGAATGCTGGGTGACTGGAGAGCCCTCAGCAGCACTTGATCAGCTGGTTAAGGAATAACAGGGGAGGGGAGGAAGAGGAACCATCCACGGGTAAGAGAACCAAATCACCACGCACTTTTACGATGAAGCCCATGCAAGTGAGGGTCAGAATGGCAGCCACCTGCCTCCTCATTCTTCCTCTGGGAACTGAGGAACCAGCCCTCGAGGAAGCTGATTGAAGATGGCAAGACTCTGTGTCACTTTCATTCCAAAGTGGGACTTCAGACTCTGCCCTCCAAGCTCTTCCATAACGAACATCGCCAGCGTTGCAGCCCTCCCATTCCTGAAGTCTGTCTGCTGCTGGTTAAGTGACATCAGGACAGAGGGCAATGTAGTGAGGTTTCCATGAAGAAAAATCTATTCGGTTTAAAGGACTGAAATTTATTCTGTGGTCACATCCTGCCTATATAGTAAAATGCCCTTTCTTTTTCTCATTATGATAGTAGTTGAGAGTTATTATTATTATTTTAGGTTTCGTGTTTTTTTTTTGGCCACACCACACAGTGTGGGATCTTAGTTCCCTGACCAGGGATTGAACCCATGCCCTCAGCAGTGAAAGCACGGAGTCCTAACCACTGGACCACCAGGGAATTCCCTATTTTAGGTTTTTACTTACAAAATAAAACGTAGGCAGCCCAACGCTAGTTCACCCAGTTTTGGTCTGGGAAATCCAAAAGTGTGGAAACCACTGGTGAAAGCTACCTGCCTCATGGGGTTATGAACGTGTTGCCTTGCGGCTGGCAACTCCTCCAATTATGCTCTCCCTACATCAGCTCAGCCTCACGCTGCTCTGCTCTCGCTCTTAAAATCCTCCGGGCCAAGACTCATCGATTCAAAACAACACCCAGTGAGCCCTGCTGCGTGCTCTTGGCACTGTGGATACACAGCAGCGAGCAAACAGGGTCTGTAGCCCCTCCCCACCATCTCTCTCACTTGCTAACTGCCCTGACCTTGACTGACCTTAATCAGGGTCCACGGACCTCCCGTCTCCCGACATTTTCTAATGGAGTGGCTCTTTAAATTGCAAATCAGATCAGAATTGTCTGACTCAAGTCAGCCAGTGACTTCCCCTCACGTTCAGAATAAAATCCCCGATCCTCCCGGTGACCTGCTGAGTCTCTGCCAGCTACCTCCTTCCTTACCCTTTCTGCAGCAGCCCTTCCCCCGACCTCTCGTCACTCCCGAGCCGCGGCCAGCCCTCTCTCACTTCAGGACGTTTGCACCAGGCCGGTGCCTGCGCAGATTCTCTTGTGGCTGCCCCCTGCGTCCCTCAGGGAGGCCTTCCTCCCCCTCCCCGGAGAACAGCCGTTCTCCACCTGTCACCCTCACGCTACCCCATCTTTCTTGATCGCACCTCTCACTCAGTGACATGGTTTTCTTCACTGTTGCAGCCCCAGTGCCTGGAACACAGTAGATGCTTGATAAGTATGTATGTTTCCCCCAAATCTACATCCTTGCTCTTCCGGCTTCAGAGCCATACGGTCAACTTCCTTCTAGATGTCTGCCGTGTGTTCCGTGAGCTCCCCCATCTCAACAGGTCCGAAACTGTTAGTCTTCTCCCAAAACCTGCCGCTCAGCTCCCCAAACCATTCGCCATTGGCCCCTGTTAGAAACCTGGCACGTATGCCAGATGCCTCACCTACAGTGGCTGAGGGCCCCTAAATCCCACCAAGTCTCTCTGAATTCTCCCTCACTTCTCGGCCTCACCACTGCTGGCTTTGCAGGGCCCTTATTATTTCTCACCAATCGGTCTCCCTCCCCAAGTCCTGCCTGGTCTTGTTACTGCAGCCACACTCTCTGAAACTCAACTGTCACGTACCACCAGGTTTATCTTTTTTTTTCGCTGCGTTTGGTCTTCATTGCTGCGCTCGGGATTTCTCTAGTTGCGGCGAGCGAGCAGGGGCTACTCTTTGTTATGGTGCGCGGGCTTCTCATTGCGGTGGCTTCTCTTGTTGCAGAGCACGGGCTCTAGGCGGGTGGGCTTCAGTAGTTGTGGCACGTGGGCTCAGTAGTTGTGGCGCACGGGCTTAGTTGCTCCACCATGTGGGATCTTCCCGGACCTGGGATCGAACCTGTGTCACCTGCATTGGCAGGCGGATTCTTAACCACTGCGACACCAGGGAAGTCCCGCCACCTTTATCTTGAGGACAAGGTTCAGGCTCAGTGTGGCTCACAGAGACCTACAGAATCTAGTTCGGGCTTTCTGGCTTCACGTTCACACAAAGCTACCTGGCGTTCCCCTCAAACCCTCTCATCTCTCTGTGCTGTTCCTCGCCTGGAGTGACCATTCTTCTCTTTCCTACTGCATTTTCTCCTGGAGAAATCCTTTTTGTCTTTCCTAATTCCCCATCTTCCTTCTGTGCAACCATAGCACCAAGCCCATCTTTTTCTCCTCCTGTTGTATTTTACCAACCCATGTAAATCCACATATCTATAAATATTTCTATGTGTAGCCACCTGTGTCTATATTCAGCTGAACAATATCTCCAACTCTAGTCTATTACCACATGGATCATTCTAGACTCTCTCTCTTGGCTTATCTGTAATTTCCCACTGCAAGAGTGAGATGGTTCCCAGTCTCTGCCATCCACTTATTTGTTTAATCCCAGTATTCATGTAGAGTGGGGTCTCTCACTGTATTTTACCTGTGTGCTTGTTTGTCTACAAGATCAACATCCCAAGCGCTTAAAAATAACTAAGTGCTTGATACACACCAGGCACTGATCTAAAAGCTACAAGCATAGAATTTAATTCTCATAACCAACCATGTGAGGCATTTACTATTAGCTCAACCAAAAAGGAAACTGAGGTACAGAAAAACCAAATAAGTTGCCCAAGTCGCTCAATTACTAAGTGGCAGAACCATGGTTGACCCCAGAGAATAGACCCACAGAATCATGTGCTCCAGAGCCTCCCCTGGGTTAGAGGTGCTGCAGGTAACATGAGCGGAATTGATAATGCCACAGTCCCTTAATTCTGACATCCTGGCCTTACTGTTTCTCAGCACTGCGAGCTGCCATCTATGGTGGTTTTCTTTGCCCCCTCACACTGTAGGTCCCTGTGGCAGAAGGTAAGGATGGTCCAACCACAGGGTTGTCTAGGCCTTCACTATATTCGTAAGTCATGGAATTCACCACCTGGGGAATCCCCATTCCACCCCCAAGAAAGCTGCTCCCAACCCCACCTCTGTCCCACCCGGCCTCTGGCCTCTGCCTCCCTAACTCCCAGGAGAAGATTTCACACCCTGTCAGAAGCCTTTCGGCAGGTGGTCCTTCCACTTCCCTTCCTACACCTCAGTTTTCTCCACCTTTTTGTACACACCCTCTTCACATACACACACACACACACCCCTCTACGAAAGCCTCTAGCTCTGCTGTGTGTGTGTAGGGGGCACTGCCTCTTTCTCCCGACACCCTTTCCTGTCCACCTTCAGGGCCCCTCGGTGTTCGCTATGCACCTGAACACATGCAGAGGCTTCCCCAACCTTAAATCTTAAAAATCTCAACTTTGCGACCACCTCATCTCTCACTCCTCCCCTTCTTTCAGCAAATATCGTCTGAGCGGCCTCCTCCATGCCAGGTTCTTTTAGGCAGTGGGGATTCCGGGATAAACAAAACTGGCCAAACCCCTGCCCTTAAGGGGCTGACACTCCAGTGCAGCCAAGCTGTTTGAAGGAGCAGGGAATGCCCCTCGCCTTCCACCGGCTCACAGAAAAGCAGCACGTCTTGGTGAAAAGTGATCATATTTGTTTTATTGAGTATATACAGAGGCAATTCTATTGTCCTCTAATAATATAATTTGGGAACAATAATCTCTGACTTGGTTAAAGTCTCCACAGGGACCTGCTTCCCAGATTCCTAGACTTCATTACTCACGACATCATACTTTTCAAAACTAGTGTTTCTGGAGATGGATCTGACAAGAGGATGGATTCCACCCTGAACATGGGCCCGTGGCCCCCGGAAGACTACGGGATTGGAGAAGAACTAGTTTCTTTGGCCACGTTTGATTCCTTCCATCTCAACACCACGGTAATGGCTTTCATTATAAGAGCCGGTGTTGCCAGGAGCCACACAATGGCTGACCCAGCATGGCTGAGGGACAGCTGCCCGGCGTGCCTTGGGGTTGGTGATGGGTCAACATGGAAAGAGACAGCCTGGCTTTAAGAACTGCACAGAAGCCCTTACGACAGTCTCATCAGGGCCTGCCTTCCACACCGGACTTGTCCTAGTTCTGGATTCATAGCCCAGGAGGGAAGCTCCACGCAGACCTGATTCACAGGCTCCTCCTCTCGAGTTACTGCCCCGCAGTAGAGGGTGGAAAGTCCTTTAGCTCCTCCTTTTCTGGGTGCACCTCTGACACTTCGTTCATCTTGGTGAAGATCTCATTGATTTCTATGAAGGTCTTGGACTTGGTCTCGGGGACAACCAGGAAGGTGTAGATGGTGGTGAAAACACATATCATGGCAAAAATGATAAAGCTGTAAGCTCCGAGGCCCACCTGTGGGCGGGGAGAGGGTTCACGTTCTTGAAAAGGTTCTCGATTTACTGCTTGAGTATTTTGGGCCTCTGGGGCCCCTGGGTGGCACTTACTTGAATGAATGGGAAGATCAAGCCCACAGTGAAGTTGGAGAGCCAGTGGACACTGCCCCCCACCATGTAGGCGGCCGGCCGGGAGGACTGCAGGAAGATCTCGGTGATGAGCAGTGCGGGGATAGGACCTGGGGAAGAAGAGGAAGAGCTGTCTTCCCTGCCGGCCGAGCAAGCCCACAGAGGGTCCTGGAGCCCCTGCCCATGCAAGGTTCCAGAGGCATCCGGCCCAAGGTGGAGCAGTGTGTCTCCAGGACTCCTGGTCTCGTGGAGAAGCAGTGTGGGAAGGCACCTAGCAAGAGTCGGGCACAACAGGCGACATCCTGTGGTATCCCTAAAGGGGGCCCATGACCACCTGTAAGACTCTCTGTGCCGACCACATGGGCACCGTGCTCCAGCCTACACAGGCTGCTTTACTGTCCTCGCTCAAAGCCCTCTGCCACAAGAACACAGGCAGAGAAGCCGTTTGGGCCGAATTCGCCCCTCCCTGGAGCCTCTCTAAGGAGCTCAGGCCAGCAGTTTCTAGGGCTGGTGGTACAGGAGGGGGCAGTGAAACCACAGAACCAGCTCTGGGGTACATACTGGGCCCAAGGGCATGTCCTATGACATAGGAGATGACGCAGGCGATGCTGACGTAGGGCATCCAGGATATTGTGTCCTGTGGGGAGAAAACAGAGTTGGATCACACCTGGCAAAGCGGAGACAACCTGGGACGGGAGCGTCAGGACTCTCGGTTCCCGGAGGGCCAGTAGCTCTGCCTGGGTTGGGAAGGCGGGTGCCAGGCACCCCCTTCTACAAGCAGCGCCACCTGGATGCCCCTGGAATACCGGATGGAAGTGGGAAGTGCGCTGCTGGGGCGGGGATCGGGGCTGCACGGGATCCCCAAGCAGCGGACTCGCGCATGCGCACGAGGGCGCAAGGCCCCCCCAGGCGCCCCCTTCCTCACCTGCAGAGCCAGGGCGGCAGTCAGCACGCAGCAGGCGGTGAAGCAGATGGAGAAGCCTAGGAGGAGCAGGACTCTCCTCCCCAGGAGCTCCACCACGAAAACCTGGAGCGAAAGGGCGAGGAAACGTGGGAGGCTCAGCAGGCCCACCTCCCCCTGTGCGCCCACCCGCCCGCCCGTGTGTGTGTGTGTGTGTGTGTGTGTGTGTCCTTGAATGGCCAGCGGGCCTCCGCACTGCGCAGTCCAGGGGCCCCATTTGTCACGCGGTGGCCCTGGCACAGGTAGTGGTCCCCAGTGTGAGACGTTGGAGAAGAGCCACCTCTCACGGCGGTAGCTTCCGGAGTGGACGGTGGGGACGGGTCTCCATCTTTGGGGCCACAGGCTACCGCCCACCCCCCCAAGAGACAGGCTGGCATCTGAGGACAGCCCAGAGGCTAGAGAGGAGGGACCGAGGGGCATGTCGCCACTGAGCTCCGGGCTCCTTCCTGGGCCAAGACTCCCCATTCTCAAGGTGCCCTCCATCCTTGGTGGCAGACAGGGACTCGGCTCCCGGGGGCACTCACGGCGCAGATGGTCATCAGCATGTTGACCGCGCCTGTGCCCGCCGTCACATACTGGACATCCTGTGCCCTCACCCCAGCGCTCAGGTAGATCTGGTCTGCGTAGTAGTAGATCTGGAAGGCCACCCCCGAGGCTGGTGAGGCCGGCCGGGCAGCCTGGACCCCTCAGCGGATCCCTCCCCGCCCCCGCCCCCGTGCCTGCCCGCTGCCCCGGCCCCGGCTGCCCTGGTACCGCGTTCACTCCCGACAGCTGCTGGCCGCCCATGAGGACGACGATGGAGATGACCTGCCACCGCAGGGACCTCATTCTGAGCAGCTTCAGCACGGAGATGAAGCCGGCGGCCTTCTCGGCCCTGTCCTCCTCCCAGATCTCCTGTGTCTCGGCGTCCACGTCGTCCCAGCCGCGCAGTTCCCTCAGCGCTGGGTGAGGGAGCAGAGAGGGCGCTGGGGGCTGAAGCACGCAACCCCCCGACCCCCAGCAAAGATGCCGCAACCTGCGTCGTTTCTTCCGGTCTCCTGGGAAAGCCTTACCGTTTTTGGCAGCCGCTTCATCTTTCTTCTGAATGAGCAGGTACCTGGGGCTCTCGGGGAAGAAGGGCAACAGAAGGAGCTGCAGTGCCGCGGGGATCCCGGTCACGCCGAGGAGGATGGGCCAGCCTGCAAGGGAACCAGTCCTACGTGAGAGCTGGCGCCCCAGCCTCCTCTCCTGTTTCTCTCCGCCTCCAGCCCCACGGAGCCGCTCTGGCCCATTGTCCTGATTGGTTTTCTTTGGAGCTGGAGCTTCTTTCTTCTCTTCTGTCCCCAGCACCTAGGATGGTGCCTAACCAAGAGCGGACACTCTGAATACTTAGAGGATGGACACTGATGAATAGCCACTACCCACCTATCAGGTGGACAAAGTGAAAACTCTGACAACACCAAGCACTGACGGGAATGTGGGCAGATGGGAAGTGTCCACACCGCTGTGTGGACACGTGGCATCTTTAGGGGACAGTCTGGCAGGAGCTAGTGATGCTGGACACCCACGTGCTCTAACCCAGCAGTCCCGCTCGGGAACGCATGCCTGGGCCACCAGGACACCGGAAGGACAAGGGCAGAGCCCCACTGATTATAGAAACAAAACCCAGAAACAAGGCGAATGTCCACACAGTAGAATGGATGCATACATCATGGTTCATTCATAAGATGGAATTTTATACTGTGGTGAAAATGAAGCAAGTCAGGACGGGAGCCAATCCTACCAATGCGATGTTGGGTGCAATGTGGCTCCACACAATGTGGTTCCATTGTATTAAGTCCGGAAACAGGGAAAATTAACTCTATCTTCTAGAAAAGTGGTGAAACTCTTCTAGGGAAGAGTAAGGATGCGATGATCATAAATGTTGGCACAGTGGCTCCCTTTGGGGGCGGGAAGGCTGTGATTGAGGGGTGCACAGGAGGCCGGCGTGGTTCTAGTTCTGGATCCTTATATATGTTACATCACTCAATAAAAACAGTTAAATAAGTGAATGAGTGGTTCAGGCTCCATCTAGGAGCTGTGAATGCCCGACTCACCCCCTTTTCTCCTATGAGGAGGTGATAACTGCAGACATCTGCGTGCCGGGCACTAGAGTCTAATGGCTTTTCACATGTAGCCCACTTCCCCATCATAGCAATGTCAGGAGGCAGGCACCAGGATCAACCCCATGTTACACCTGCAAACACTGAGGCATGGAGGGCATGTAGCCCCCTTGCCCGAGATCAGTTATTTTGGAGCAAAGCTGAGATTCGAACTCAGGCACATTGAACCCTGAATCCCCATCCTCCCAACCTTCTCCCACCTCTTGGCTCCGAATCCAGGGCCTAGCTGATCCGGGTCCCGCTTCTATCACCCTTGCACAGACTACAGCGAGTATAGACGTGCCTGCCATTCGGGCCGTTGCCATCTGCCCTCTGGCCCCGACCCCGCCCCCTACACTGAAACTCTTCTCATGAGATCTCAGTGACCCCTAACTGCCAAACCCAGACACCCTGTTCCAATCTTGACCCCCGTGACTTCTATGCAGCCTTTGTGCTGTGACTGCCCACTCGCTTCCAAGAACTCTGACACTATTCTCTCTGGCCTTCCTTCCTTCTTCACTGAGCACCTAGTATGTGCCATGAATTGCGCCAGAGATTCAAAGATGAGGAAGGCCAAGCCCTGCCCTCCACACTCTTGTCTAGAGGAGGGTACCGAGGGCTGAATAGTCACCATAAAGGATGGAGGGACAAAGTGAGAGTCCACCACCACACCTGCAGCTCCCTGCATGCACAAAGAACTTTATGCTTCCATCCCCTCTGCCCACATCTGGAATGCTGGTCCTACTCGCCACCCCCCAAGCCCAGGCCCTCTCTGAGACCCCCTCCCTGGGTGGAACCATGGCTCCCTCCCACACACCACAGAGCAATTCGCAGGTGCCAGGGATCCGTGGCTGTTTCTGGGTGCAGCTGGTTGGTTACATGCCATCAGCGGGAGACAGGAACCTAGCTCCTCCACTCCTGGGCCCAGCTCTTTACAAGGGCGATTGAAAGGTGGGAGAGCTGGTAGCTAAACTCAGACTCAGGCCTGCACTGCCTGCATTTGTGTCCTAAGGAGACATTGGACATGTGATCCAACTTCTCTATGCCTCAGGTTCTGCACCTGTAAAATGGGTATAGTAATAGTACATGCTTCATAGGTTGTTTGGAGGATTAAATGGATTATATAAAAGACTTTGTGTCTGGCCCATACGTTTTGACTGGTGCTTTGTTAGTGGTGATTTCCCTTTCAGAGGTTCGAGACCGAAGATGAAAAAAAGGGAGGTCATGCAAGAACAACGACAGTTATGAGTTGCTGTGCACCTACTATGTGCCAGGCCCCAGGCTCTTGGGGTGGGGGGGTGTGCGGTTCCGAAGTCTGGGTCTGGTGTGGATACCAGCCCTGAGACTCACCACCTCACCCACGGAGGCTGGGTCTTGTGACCCTCTTTCCTGGTCTGCGATGGGATGATCACGGGCCCCTGGGCAGCTGCATTGCTGGGAGGCTCCAGTGCAATGGTGCCGGAGGCCTTAAGCACAGAGCCTGGCACCCTGGTGGCCGTCATTACCACGCCCCGGGTCCCTGTGTGACAGCCACCAAGCAACCAAGAGAAAGATAGCAGCACCTCCTGCGCCCTCACAACTCCCTCATCCGTGTCCCAAGAGGGACTAGAGAACGTCAGTCTGTCTGTCCCCACCAACTTGTTCAGGCCCGCTCTGGGCAACCTCCGGCTCAGCACCGTGGGGTCAGGGCTGTGCAGGGGCCCCGTCATTTAGAGAGAAAAGACCAGCTCATAGGAACGGGCTGGGGGTCTGAGGTGTCCTGAGCTCACCTTCTTCGTTTGCGAGGAGACTCCGAAGACCCAAGATCTGGGCCGCAAGGATGCCGACGGTGATGAAGAGCTGGGGCACCACCCCCAGGGCCCCCCGCAGGTTCTTAGGGGCCAGCTCCCCTAAGTACATAGGGACGACATTGGAAGACAGACCTGGGAGGGAGGGTGAAATAAAGACACCATCAGGAAACATTAATCTGGCAGGGATGAGCTCTGTCTTCAAATACATTTATCCTTCCTCAGCAATCGCATTAGTTGGGCTGAAACTGTCTCAAAACTGCAGGACTAAGCAAACCACCCCTCTTGCAATTCTTAGGCCTTTTAACTTTAAGAGAAAATAGTCTGACCAAAGAAGTTCATGGACAGTGCGTTTGCTTCAAGACTGGTGTCACCTGGGGACACAGGCCACCCGGACCTCAGGTCTTCCCTCCTGATTGGCTTGGTCTCGGAGAGGAAAAGCCCAGGTGTGATTAGACTCTCTCTCCTCTCTTGCTCCTCGGGGCGGCGGGGGGGGATCCTGTTACTAAAAGGCCAAGGACCCCTGCCCACCAGCCTTACCTTCTGAGACTGTATATTACATAATAAGCTGATGGATAGACATCGAAGCACAAGCTTTATTTGTCAGTAAGCATTGAAAACTTAAATATATACTGTAGACTAACTGCATTCTGGGATTTGTGTAATGACTGAACTACTTCTGACTCCTCAGTATTTGAACTTGTTGGTTTTCCCGTCTTACTGATATCTGACCCCCTTATGAATAGGTGAAACAATTTAATAGGCTCTAAAGTATTTTCATAGATATTATCCCATTTAGTTCTCCTCAAAGTCCAGTGAAAGGTTGGGGGTCTGGGAGGAAGGTCAGATGGGTTGTTACCGGTCCAAGTATCGCACGTGGAGCCAGAGGCAAGCTGGTGCTCAGAAAGACGTGGGGTCTGAGGGGGAGGCTGTGGCCAAGGGCAGACCAAGGGAGACGGTGTGGGGTGAGGGGAGCCTGGAGCTGCTGGTGATGGGAGGGTATTTTATAGCACTGAGGTAAGAGGAAACTGACGGCCAAGTTTTCAGCTCTGCAATTCTGCCCAAGGACATCTCTGCTTAGTATTTTATTATTATTATTTTTTTGGCTTTTTTTTTTTTAAACATCTTTATTGGAGTCTGATTGCTTTACAATGGTGTGTCAGTTTCTGCTGTATAACAAAGTGAATCAGCTGTACATATACATATATCCCTATATCTCCTCCTTCTTGCGTCTCCCTCCCACCCTCCCTATCCCACCCCACTAGGTGGCCGAAAAGCACTGAGCTGATCTCCCTGTGCTATGTGACTGCTTCCCACTAGCTATTTTACATTTGGTAGTGTATATATGCCCATGCCACTTTCTCACTTCGTCCCAGCTTACCCTTCCCCCTCCCCCATGTCCTCAAGTCCATTCTCTACGTCTGCGTCTTTATTCCTGTTCTGCCCCTAGGTTCTTCAGAACCTTTTTTTTTTTAGATTCTATATATATGTGTTAGCATATGGTATTTGTTTTTCTCTTTCTGACTTATTTCACTCTGTATGACAGACTCTATCTAGGTCCATCCCCCTCACTACAAATAACTCAATTTCGTTTCTTTTTATGGCTGAGTAATATTCCATTGTATATATGTGCCACATCTTCTTTATCCATTCATCTGTCGATGGACACTTAGGTTGCTTCCGTGTCCTGGCTATTGTAAATAGTGCTGCAGTGAACATTGTGGTACCTGACTCTTTTTGAATTATGGTTTTCTCAGGGTATATGCCCAGTAGTGGGATTCTGCTTAATATTTTAAAAGGGGCATCACAGTTCATTAATTAATACCAATTCTTTCTGATTTTCAGACAAAGACGGACAGTCTTTAGAGCAGCTCTTAGGTGTCTTGTGTGGTGGAGGGGCGGGGGTGGCCCTGCAGGCCCAGTGCCCAAAGGGCTATGGAGAAAGCGACGCCCTCGTGTTGCCCGGTCACCATTCAGGCCCTGGTGGCCGCTTCTCAAGGCCAAGTGCTTCTGAACTTTGTTAATAGCAACACTGGAGAGACCAACACCAGGGGGTTTGTGAAGAGATGGGATTCCCTTCATGTCGGTGGAAAACAGTCTCATTCTGTCTTAAAAAACAACTCCATGGGGCAACCCCCGGCCAGCCTGTTCTGACACCAAAGCCAGAGAAGCAGCTTTTAAAGTTTAAATTCCATTAGTGAAAGTCTGAAGCGTTCTTACCAAAGATGTTGAGTAACAGCAAACCAGCAAACTGAGCATCTGGGGGTCCAAGCTGCATTGACCCTGAACCCGCTTGGTCAGAGTGGCCGTTTACTTCGTTTTTAGGGTGTCTAAGTACCACGGGGCTTGATGACACCCTTTCCTGACTTTTCAGGAAATATGTGAAGGAATGAACAGCAAATAGATTAGGCTTCTGCTGGAGTTCTTCAAGTATGACCTGAAGACACAGGGGGTTCCTGACACCTTTCAGGTGTCACCTTTCAGGGGGTCTGTAAGATCAAAACTGTTTTCAGAACCGTCCTGAGATGTTACTTGTCCTTTTCAATCTCGTTCCCTGACCAGTTTTCCAGAGATCACATGCTCTCTGACGTCACACCAACAGAACACAGAAGCAGGTTTGAGAATCTGGCTGTCTTCTGTTAAGCCAGACATTCAAGAGATTTGCAAACATGTAAAGCAATACCACTAAATTTTTTTGTTTTAGAAAATAGAATTATTTTCATAAAGACATGTAATGGGCTTCTTATTGCTATCTTAAAATGAATTAATACATTTCTTGGTTGCAATTTCTAACATGGTAAATATTGATCAGTATAACACATACGAGCTCCTTAGAACCCTCAATAATTTTAAGAGTGTAAGGGGGTCCTGAGGCCAAAAAGTTTGAGAACTGTTGACCAGAAGTCATGCTTATTTAAAAGCAAAGGTTGGTTGGGAATTCTCTGGCGGTCCAGTGGTCCGTGCTTTCACTGCCGAGGGCCTGGGTTCAATCCCTGGTTGGGGAATTAAGATCCGGAAAGCTGTGTGGCATGGCCAAAAAAAAAAAAGCAAAGGTTGGGATGTTAAACTGTGATTTTTCTATTGGAGCCTAACATTTCTTTTTTGGAACCAACTCTGAATTGTTGGCTGTCAATAGAAACGTCACAGCACCTGCCCGCTGCTGACAACTTCCAGGAATCGTCCATTTTTCATAAAGCTGAGCCCGGCTGCAGGGAAAAAGTGCAGGAGCAGGGCCAGGCACCTCGGGACTCCTGGCCAGATGGTAGATGAATGTCCGGGTGCTCTCAGGGAAAGCTAGAATGAATGAAGTTTGCCAGGGGGCCCATCAGTCCCTCCTTGAGGTGACCTCTTCTGTCTTCGGGAATCTTGTTTTCCTCTTCATCTCCCCAACCCTGCAATCCCTCGCCACTTCCCCCAATACCAGGCTCCTTGCTGTCTCCTCTATTGTCAGTAAACTCCAGGGAAGGGGTTTGCTGACATCCAGCCAAATTATCCCTTCTTCATCCCCATCCCTGTGTTTGGAAGGAGAACGAGTCACTTGAAAATGCCACAGCCTGGTGGGGGGCGAGTGAAGTGCCCAGGGTGCAGCATTTCCAGGGGCGCTTACCCTTGGGGGCCCACCCTGCAGTGCACGGCCCCGAGAGTGGGCACCTCGCTTTCCTCGACGGCCCTGGCCCTTCTGCCTACAGAGGAAGCCAACCTGAAGGAAGGCCACGGCATGGCTGAACCATGTCTCTTCAGTCTGAAGCCATCATGGGGGAATTTTCTATAACCAGGGAAACCCGGCCTGGGCAGAATGGCTTTGGAGAGGTTACTACCATTAACTCTTTTCTGGTAGAGGGATTCATGCATTTGATAATTTCTCAAGCTTTTTTGACCACAACTCACGGTGCAAAATACAGAAATACATTTTACATCCAACTTGGTTCTCACATATGTATAAAGATAAAGAACTGAAACAACGTTTCAAAAGACAATCCTTGGGCCTCCCTGGTGGCGCAGTGGTTGGGAGTCCGCCTGCCAATGCAGGCGGCATGGGTTCATGCCCCGGTCCGGGAAGATCCCACATGCTGTGGAGCGGCTGGGCCGAGAGGCCCGCGTACCACACACAAAAAAAGACAATCCTTATCTTTACTACATGTGACACAGTCTACCCTAGTTAAAAGCAAAAAAAAAAGAAAATACTGTTTGCTAAACAGATGTCACCACCCACCAACTGATCCTGAGACAGGCTGGGATCTGGGACCCTTTGCTGCAGTGTTTGCAGCTGGACAAACATCTCCTTGAGCAACAAGCGGCAGAGAAACTATAAGGGACTAAAAATAACTGTGTGCATGTGTAGTTGGGGCAAATTATGGACAAAAAGATACAAAAAGACCAAAGAAAACCCAACTGTCACCTCTGAAGAGCCAGGAGAAAACACTGGGTGTCTTGAGCAAAAGCAGAGTACTGCGCATGCCCCCTGCACTCAGCACAAAGGGGTGGGCAAAACACCCAAGCCACCCCTCTGGCCTGATGCCTGGACACACCTCTTCCCTCACGCCATATAAGGAACGAGCTCGCCCCCCACCTCGGGGAGTGAGCAAGGGAAGCTGTTACTTGTTTTTGCCCCCTCCTGCGGCTGCAGGGGCCCCAACAAAGCCTTGCCTGTATTTCTTGTCTGGCCTCTAGCCAATTTCTGTTGATTGGGGAAGGCCAAGAACCCTGGTCAGTATCATTCCCGACCTGCAGTTTAGAAAACATTGAGATAAAGGAGTGGTTGGAAGGACCAGTCCTATCCTAAGATTCTGTATCTCAGTCTTTCAAAGAACAGCTTTCTTCACAGGAAACTCCACAGTGAAGATCTGCCCGCGGTCCACACACATCCCTATAACGCAGGGGCTTAAGCGTCTACCCACAGCAGAGGGGTAGGAACAGCTTGACCCTATATGCTTCAGAGACCCCAGATTGGTTCAGACCCCAGGTGCCTGTTCTCCCTCCCTCTGACCATCCCGAATCACAGAATGGTTTACCTGCACATATTCCCACCAAAAGTCTGGCCACAATTATCATCTCAAATGACTTGGCAACTTCACTGCATCCCATTAAGATCGCAGGCACGATGGAAAAGATGTTGTTGAACAGCAAGGTTCCTTTTCTGCAGAGGACAAAATACCAGTTGGTTTGGTTTAAGGATCTGCCACTCCTTTAACAAATGTTTGCCGAGCATCTACTCAGTTACAGCAGTTGCTGTTGTGTTGTTCGATTTGCTGTTGACCTAAGATGGATACAGGTCCAGTGCATGGCCTGGTGTGGGAATATTCTGTGTGGGAGCAGATGTAAATGACCTCACTGCAGAGGGCATCAGTAGTGGGGAACAGAGGGAAAGGCTCGCATATTACAATACAGTAAAGGGTTCTGCAACCATAAACTAACATGATTTTAGTGTAATCTTGAAACCCAGACTGGATGAGGACATTAAGGGAAAGGTTTAGGCCAATCTCACCTATCAACGTAGATGTGAAAATCCTAAATGAAATATTAGCCAGTTGAATTCAACAGCATATGTAAGACTCTTTCAAGGTTAAAAACACCATATTAAAGATTGTACTGGGGAAAAATATAGGATCAACAATTGAAGTAGCAAAACAAGTCAATAAAATTTGATATCTATCATGATTTAAAAGAAAACCTTAACAAACTATAAAAATGAGGGAACTTATGTAAGCTGATAAAGGGTATCTCCTGAAAACCTATAAAAAATCAAACTTAATAAAACTTACAAAACAGTCCAATTTAAGTCAAGACTGGAGTTGGACTTGGGCCCTGGAGAACCAGACAAAGGCAAAGGGAAAGCTTCTCTGGAGAAGCCCCTCCCATTGGGCTCCCCAGGAGTCCCCCAGCCAAGGACCCCCACCCCCTGAGATGAAGCATCACCATTACAGGACACACAAGACAATCCACCACCTGCAAGAGGCCGCACATACAAACAGCACAGCTTCAGACAACAGGATTAGATAGAAGCCATAAAATATGTTTTAAATGAGTAGTGGCATAAAATAAGGAATCAAAAGCGTACTATAGAAAGAACAAGAACATACATAAAACAGAACTACCCAAAACAATAGCAAAAAAGATAGATCTTAAAAGCAAATGAATAAAACTTAGAAATGAAAAATATAGTCATTGAAATAAAAACGTAGTAGGTGAATTGCAGCTGAGGGAAGAATTAATGAATAGGAAGGCAGACCTGAGGAAGTTACATAGAAAGCAACAGAGAGAGAGAGAAGATGGGAAGTATGACATATTAAGATAGGGAGGATTATAATATCACTAGTCACAGTAGCCAGAAGGTGGAAGCAACCCAGATGTCCATCGACAGATGAATGGATAAACTAAATGTAGTATATTCATACAACAGAGTATTATTCAGCCTTAAAAAGGAAAGAAATTCTGACACGTGCTACAATATGAATGCACCTTGAGGGCATTAGGCTAAGTGAAATAACCCAGTCACAAAAGGACAAATCTTGTAGGATTCATTCATATAAGGTCCTTAGAGTAGTCAAATGCACAGAGACAGAAAGTTGATTGGTGACTTAGGGGAAGACAAGAAAGGGGAGTTATTGTTTAATGGGTACATGGTGTCCGTTTTTGTAAGATGAAAAGTTATAGAGATGTGGGTGGTGGTGATGGTTGCAGAACAGTGTGAGTGTACTTAATGCCAAAAACCTGTACACTGGACTTCCCTGGTGGCGCAGTGGTTAAGAAGCCACCTGCCAATGCAGGGGACACGGGTTCGAGCCCTGGTCAGGGAAGATCCCACATGCCGCGGAGCAGCTAAGCCCCTGCGTCACAACTTCTGAGCCTGCACTCTAGAGCCTGCGAGCCACAACTACTGAGCCCACATGCCACAACTACTGAAGCCCATGTGCCTAGAGCCTGCGCTCTGCAGCAAGAGAAGCCACTGCAATGAGAAGCCCGCGCACCACAGCCAAGAATAGCCCCCGCTCACCACAACTAGAGAAAAGCCTGCACGCAGCAACGAAGACCCAATACAGCCAAACTAATTAATTAAAATTAGAAAAAAAAACCAACGTGTACACTTAAAAGTTGGTTAAAATGGTAAATTTTATGTTATGTATATTTACCACACTTTTTTTCTTTTTGCTGCACCGTGCCACTTGTGGGATCTTAGTTCCCTGACCAGGGATCAAACCCGGGCCCTGGCAGTGAAAGCATGGAGTCCTAACCACTGGACTGCCAGGGAATTCCCACCACAATTTTTGAAAAATAGTTTTTTAAACAAGTCTCTTTACAGACAACAACAACAATGACAAAAGCACGGAGGAACTTCCAGAAGAATATAGAAAATGGAGGAGAGAAAAGATCGGTAGAAATGATGGCTGAAAACTTTCCAGAACTGATGACAAAGACATGAAACCTCAAACAAGGAACTGCCATGAGTTCTGGGATAAATAAATCAGCCATAGCTTACTCATGAAAGGGAAGATTCAACAGTGTAAGGATGTTTAGTTTTCCTTCAATTAAATGATAAATCCAAATCGATTCCAAGCAGAATTCTTTTTCAGGGATTTCGATAAGCTGATTTTTTTTTTTTTTTTTTTTTTGCGGTACGCAGGCTTCTCACTGTTGTGGCCTCTCCCGTTGCGGAGCGCAGGCTCCGGACGCGCAGGCTCAGCGGCCATGGCTCACGGGACCTGCCGCTCCGTGGCATGTGGGATCCTCCCGGACAGGGGCATGAACCAGTGTCCTCTGCATCGGCAGGTGGACTCTCAACCACTGCGCCACCAGGGAAGCCCTCGATAAGCTGATTTTAAAATTAACACAGAAGACTAAAGGAACATGAATAACTAAGATAAATTTGAGAGTAAGTGATTTTTTACATGGAAAAAAATTAAAATAAAATTGGCCTTCCCTCTCCATTCACCTACTACATACAAAATAAAATTATCCCAGATCTATCTGGGAAAGACAAAATTGTAAAATCATTTTTTTAATTATAGAAGATTATCCTTATGACGCCTGGTAGGGAAGACTGTCTTAAGACACAAAAAGCAAAAATCATAGATGAGTTAAATGTGACCACTTGAACATTTAAAGATTTTGTATCAAAAAGATACTACATGTACAATTAAAAATAAAGCAACAGGGCTTCCCTGGTGGCGCAGTGGTTAAGAATCCGCCTGCCAATGCAGGGGTCACGGGTTCAATCCCTAGTCCGGGAAGATCCCACATGCCGCGGAGCAACTAAGCCCATGCGCCACAACTACTGAGCCTGCACTCTAGAGCCTGCAGGCCACAACTACCGAGCCCGCGTGCCACAACTACTGAGCTCATGTGACTAGAGCCCATGCTCCACAACAAGAGAAGTCACAGCAATGAGAAGCCCGCGCACCGCAACAAGAGTAGCCCCCACTCGCCGCAACTAGAGAAAGCCCGCGTGCAGCAATGAAGACCCAAAAAACCAAATAAATAAATAAAATAAATAAATAAGGCAACGGATTGAGAAGACGTGTGCCGGATACAACAGAGTACAGTGTGGATGTTACTTGCACGATGTGCTCAGAAGTGAAATTTCCTCCCAGCACCCTCTGTGCCTCCTTTTCCCATGTGTGAAAAGGGGATGGGGCTTTTGTAAGGATTAGTGCAATTAATATCCCCTAAAAGCACTTAGGATAGAGGCCGGCAAGTAGGAACCCATCAATTAATTGTTAGCTGCTACTGATAGTTAAAGAACACAGATAAATCTTTAAGAAAACCACAAACAACTGAATAGCATTTATCACATTTTCAATTGGACTAGCAACTGTCAGCTCCATCTTCAGACCAGACGGCTAGTCCTTCACTCAGGAGAAGCATCCTGCAGGTCTGTGACTTGACTGATGCTCTGCCCACCGGTGGTCCACAGGGAGAACTGTGCGTTCAACACCAACCTCCCAGCAAGACTTCAGGACCTTAGATCCTGAATCACAGCTTGTATGTTTCTATTCTCAGATTCTTTTTGAAAAAGACTGGAGAAGGAACCAAGGTCTGGGGTCTGGCCTTGAGCTCACTAGATCTGTGGCTGAGAACGGGCACTTTACCTCAACCCGCCTCCGTGTGCCCATCCTCGAAGGGAGGGGCCTGGAGGGGAAGAACTCTTAAATACTGTTCATAACAAGGCTGCTTGCTCTCTCACGCCCATGGAATTTACCAGGGGGGTGGGAGGGCTTAAGGACCTTTCTTGGAGTCAAATACAGAATCTCTGATGCTTCTAGAATTAGGGGCAAAGATTTAAGCTCTGCTCTTGCCACTGATGACGCTCACAGTGAGGGTCGCCCTGGGACCACACGGTCTCACACTGAAGGGCTTGACATTAATCTCAGCCACTTCAGAGTTTTACAGGAATTTAATTTGGGCTACATTTTGCATGTAACTGGATTCGAAGGTAAAAGAACAGAGCAGTTAGCTTGTGTTCATTTAGGAAGCAGAGTTCAGGAGCATCAGTCTATGGTCTGCATTGGGCCTGATGTCTTGGCCATGCCATCTGGCATTTGACTCTTCTAAAGGCCAAAAGGAAGTTTTGGAAAGGACGATTTCAAGGCAAGAGAGGGTAAGAGCGGGAGTGGGTCCTGATCTCTGAAGCACTCTCTGCTCTTTCCATGCCCACCTCCAGCCCTGAGACCCATCGCCCCCACCCACCCCCG